TCTGCCAGGGTGCTGAGCAAAGGAAGCTGTGGGCTGCCTGTGGGGGCCTCACAGCTTGGGAGTGTTATTCTGAGGAACACTAACGGCTAGTAGCCACTGGCTGGAGGGCTGGAGTCGAGATGGTCCAGCACTGAAGTGAGAAGACTGAAACCTTCATGGTGGAGACAATGTGGGGGTTCCAGGGTCCCATCTAGAAGGCTCGGGTCTGCAGTTTCTTCTTCTGTGTTTTGTAAGAGTCATGTTAGTTAGGGATGGGGGAGGTGGATATATTTCCAGACTGCGGGAGAAGGTGAGAAACGTGTGATGTTTGGTCTGGCATTTCCCACCCTTTCCCTTTCCTGGTGTTTCTACCCTGTAAGGGCTTCCCTGATGTCTGATGAATGGTCATCTCCAGCTTTGCTTACCTAGGTTAGTCTTGGATAGATGAATATGAAATATTACTATCTTTAGTTAACCATGTGTTTAATCACAGTCTTAAGGATGGTGAACTGTCTGGGTGTGGCTTAGGAGTAATCCCAGTGAAAAACTCTGTAAGGGCAGTGCCTAAAAAGAGCAAGGTGGGTCAGTGAGTTTCCTGCCCCCAAGTCTCTCCCTACTCCTCACCAACCAAAGCATTTGGTCTGGCAAGGAGAACAATTATGGGTTTTATTTTCCTTTCCTTTTCTTCTTCTTTTTAACCTGAAAGGAATGTCTCCTTGGCATTGTTATGGAGACTGGATAAATGAGACAGATAGATGGGGGCACGTATGACGAGGTGACAGGAGTTGGCTGCCAAGTTACCTTTGTGATCCATCTCTGCAGAAGCCAGAGTTAATTCCGTGGAGACTCAGCAAGACTGATATCTAACACTGACAGTTCGGACATGGAAACATGACCTTGGATGTGCCCAAAACCACAGCTGATGCTATGCCAGCTTCTCAGTGTAGTATATCATGGGCCACAGAACTGTGCTGGAATTGGCTGCATCCGGAGCACTTCTGTATCTGTGGAGGGGCCTTCTTGGCCCTGGAATGTGGTGTGGTATGGGGGAAGACTTTCTTATCAGTCAGTTTGCAGTAATTAGATGTTCACAAGGTAGTCAGGGATGATCTTCCTGAATTCCTCTTGAGGTGATGAGATGTTCGCATTTGGGATCAACTGTTATCCATGTGGCATGGATTCTGTTGGTCTCGATTTTCTGCCCTGTGGATATTTAACTGATGTCTGGTCAGACTTCAGTTTCTGTGAGCAAACAATACCAAAATGTCTGCTCTGTCTTCCCAGAACATATCGGCTAACAGGAAGGTTCTCTCCTGTGAAGCAATGGGGAAGTGTTTGTGATGAGATAGCTTTCCAGGGTCGTTCACTCTCATTCTCCACATTCCAGATCTCTGAATCAGTGGTTCTAAGTGCAGGCCAGAGGCCAGCAGCAGCAGCACCTCAGTAATGTGTCACCATGCAGTCTCATGGGCTCCACTCCAGAACCACTGAGTCAGAAACCAGGCGTAGGGCTCAGTGACCCTCGAATCTTCAGATTGTCCCTGTGATTAGCTGGCATGATGATTGGGAATCATTGATGAAAGCATTCTTTGCTGATCCTCTATTGGACAGTGAAGGGGAACCTTCTAGAATTTTCTAGAACTTTCGATGATAGCAAGCAGACTGCTGCAGCATGAGTGGCATTGGCTTTCTAGCACTGCTATATGACATTTAAGAACACTATAGTTGGAAAACAAGATGAAGCAAAGCTTGAGGGGATCCTGGTTCTGCTGCTAAATACCAGTCTGCTCATAGTCAATGCAGGTGTTTCTTAGCCTCGGCTGACCTCGTCTGTTGGCAACAATATTGAGTGCAACCAAATTTTTGAGATGTCAACACTGCATGTAATAAGCTCACAACCCACCTAGGGTATGAAATATGTGTTCCACAAACACTGGATATCAGTGTAAATTTCACCAGTTCCCTGGTTAGATCCAAGCAAAAGTCAGAGAAGTGACTACACTCAGAGATATTAACATAAATTTGCCCCAGGTATAGCACTGGTACAGTGAGCGGCAGAGTGTGTTGTCCTTGATAGATTTCAAGCTAAGCTAATTCCAAATCCATGTTTCAGCAAGGCAGCCAGCAGTGAACAACACTGGCTGCAGGAAGAACTCTGGGAGGAACCATTAGTGTCAGGAGCATCTGTTGACTGTACTTCTATCCTGTTTAGTCTTAGAGTAATTCTGGGTATTGTCAGCAAAGCCAAAAAGAAGGCCTGGATTACACTTTAGATCATTCAAATCTCTATGTGCATTTGAGTTATTGTCTTGTTAGTCTTCTCATTGCTAAAAAAAATTGACACCCCAATTTAAAGGAGGAGAAGTTTACTTAGCTCACAGCTTGTAGAGGTTTCAATCCATAATTGACTGGCTTCAAGGGTGGCATAATGCAGAGGGGCAACTATTCATTATGGTAGAAGACAGGAAAAACCATAAGAAAGCAAACAAACCACTTTCTGCCTCTCATATTGTATCTAGCCTACTGGGAGTAGGGAAGTGTCAATCCAACAAGTGGAATGAGCCAGAAGTCACCCCCTTTTAATCCCAGCACCCTTAATCCCAGCATTACACTATGAATCAGTCACACACTCTAGATTTAGCTGCCTCCAAAAAAGCCTGCTACCCATGCCTTCATGAGACTGTGGGCAGACATCTAGACACAAACAGTAACAATTGCCTGAAAATCTTATTAAAATGAAGAGTCTTATTCATGGTCTCTGGTGTGGGTCTGGAGAAAACTGCAATTTTCACAAGGCTCCAAAAGGTCTCTGTAGGGCCCTTTGCCCATCCCATCACACTTTTGCATGGTGGGTGCATAGACAGGGCTTCTCAAATGCTTCTGCGCACAAAATTCACCTTCACAGAAATACTGCTCTGGGACTGTCCAGAAACTGTTAGCACCAGCTCCCTGGAAGAGCTGTGTGTGATGCAGAATCTCAGGCGCCACTTCAGACCTGCTGTATCAGAGTCTGCACAACAGCAGGGCCCACAAGCATTTCTGAAACATCCAGAGCTGGCCCTGTGATGTTTATTTTCCTGAGAACCATATTTGGTTTCATGTTCTACTCTCATTTTCTTGAAATGCTTTCTAATTCTTGCACAAATGTCTGCATTTTCAATTTGCATTATGCCCAAGTAGTCCTCTATGAACTGCTCCACACCAGTGTCTTTTAAAACTTAGTCTGTACATGACCCGATTGGGCCACTGTTATAAACTTGTATTACTATATTTCTGGACTGGTAAAGTTCTGAACCAGTAGAACAGAGGACCATAGAGATTAGAAACCTCCAGTGATGCCAGTATATGGGGCCCTCATTCACTTCTAGAGGTAGTCATCTGATATTCTCTAAGTGGCACTTCAGTCACTTGAATGTTTTATATGAGAATGGCACCAGAAAGGCTGGCATCTGTCCAGCATGGCCAGAAACTGTGATACTCAGCACAAAGCTCTCTGGGCACCAGAGCGACCCTGTTTCTTGTTGGGTAGTTTCCCCATAGGAGTTCTCTGCAAGCATCCACCTGCTCCTGAGTGGCTGTCCATTAGTGGTATGACATTTGCACAAGTGAAGCAGAGTAAGTACAAGTACAGGATGTCTTGTCTGGAGAGAGCAGCTACAGAAGCCAGAAATAGCAGTGCAGTGGTGGTCAGCGGTAGCTCACAGAATTTCATTGCTTTGTTTTTTTATGGTCACAGATCATTTTGAGAATTCAATAGAATCAAAAGCCCTCCCCAGTGAAAAATTCACCTTTGTACCTTCAGCAGCATACTCAAGACTAGGACTACAAAACCTGGTAAAAGATGAGATTCCTGTTCTTCCTTGTCCTTCCCTTGAGCAAGACCTAGACCGCCTGAACCTCTAAAGTCTGTCATTAAAACAGAGAATTAGTGAAGACACCTGCCTCACAGATATTAAAGGAATCAAATGAGACAAAGAGAATAAATAGAAAAGTGCCCTGTGCATTGCAAAGAATGTATGAATTTGAGGCATCATTATACATACCTTGAAACACTGTTATTTTCAGCATTATAGTTAGGATCAGGACACTGAGTTTGTGAATTTAGCCTAAGGCCGTATAACATACTGGTGCAGTAAGAGAGAAAAATGAATATAGACAGAAAGACATGAGGAGGACTTGGCAAGAGTTGCTGGGAAATTTCAAAGTATAGAAAAGACAAGGAAGCTTCCACAATCTGAGGACTCCAGATGCAAAAATAAAGGAAAAAGAAATCTATTTTTATATGTGCAAACAGTTTGGAAAATGCCTTTAGTCTAGCAATAATTGAACATTTCTGCCCCTGGGTATAATGAAGGTAATAGCAATGGATGGTGGTGGTCCATATTTAGTTTGACTTCAGAAGCCGTCTGTCAGAGTTTGCTATTCTAAGATGAGTGGAATGATGGGTAGTAGTTAAAAGCTGGGTTTCTGAGCTCACACATGTTAACTGTGTGAACTGGAGAATTATTTAGTTTCCTCATTTCTGAATCTTTTTCCAGTAACACATATTCCACCGAGTTGTAAGCACTGAAGGTTTTAGTATACGCAGAATATCTTGACACTAATGCAAGGGATTACCAGCACCCATATCATGGAAACCCTTGAACCAAGGGATAGCCAGTGGCACTTCCTTGGATGGTCCAGCCATTCTTTGGAGAGTGCAGGTCATAACCCAGCTGCTTTGAAGATATCCTTTGGTTGGGTGGTTTCAGAAGCATTTATTACTTGCAGGACCTAAAAGCCTGAGATGTTCTGAGGTAATAAGCACAATACTCCTCTGCTGCCAAGCTCCAGAGCATTCCATCCAGGAGCGGTCAAAACAAACAAACAACCACAACAAAAAGATGCATGCATATATACAAGGGTGAAGAAATAACACAAAGTGTGAGAAAAGGACCTCTAGCATTTCTGCAGAGACCCCACTCTTGTGGCCCCTGCTTTCTCTCTGGTCCTTTGACATTCCTGTCTGATCTTATCTTCAGGTGCACTATCGACAACCGGGTCACCCGGGTAGCCTGGCTGAACCGCAGCACCATCCTCTATGCTGGGAATGACAAGTGGTGCCTGGACCCTCGTGTGGTCCTCCTGAGCAACACCCAGACCCAGTACAGCATCGAGATCCAGAACGTGGATGTGTACGACGAGGGTCCATACACCTGCTCCGTGCAGACAGACAACCACCCAAAGACCTCCAGGGTCCACCTCATTGTACAAGGTAGGCAGGGCTTGCTGGAGGGCCAGGGAGCCGGGGCAGCCTGCACCAGTGACTTTACCTGGATTGTTGACATGATTGCGTTCTGTTTCTTCTCTTCAGTAAGGATCCCTCTCTGGTTGTCACATTGCATTTTGCACTTAAAAGCTGAATTCCAGTCCACTGAATAGGGCTAGGACTTTTTTGTTTTATTCTAATAATATATTTTCTTAGACAATGACCTTCTAATTATTACCTTCTTGGCTTTTTTCCCCTCTATGTGTTTTTAAAATGTTCTGTTCAGCTCTAAGCTAGCTTTATTTTAAGGCCAACATTTAAAGACTCCTTTAATGCTGTATGAATGCCATGACCTAGAGTAGCCTTCAAGGAAAGCAGAGCCAAGCAGGAGGCCCTTGGAGCTCACCTCAAGTGTATCCTTCCCAGCCACCCTCATTGATTCCAGTGTCTTTAGTCTCTCCTCTCCGAGTCCTGGGTTTTCAGTTCTAGGTTTCTCTTTTAACTGATTCTCTGTTTTGGTAGCACCTCTGGTCTCTCCCCATTCTGCACTTTTGAGACCTCATGTACGTTCTAGCTTTGCTTATGTTTTTGTTTGTTTTGTGTATACTTATGTATTTCTCTGGGTGCTGCTCTGTTTCTCTGAACTTGGTACTGGTGTTTTCCTCTTCCCACAAAGCTGTAGTGATCTTGAGACATTTGGACAACCCTTAACGTGTGGATGTGTTTCTAGTTTAGTAGTTGCTTGGAGCCTCACTGAGGAGCTTTCCAGCTATGAGAACTTGATCAAGTTACCATGATGCCTCAGGGTCTCTTTCTGTAAAATGGGGTCAATGTTAGGAACTGGGTGAGGGATACATTCTATCTGTGCCGCATATGAATCACTCAGTGAAAGGCCACAGAAGGGCCATTTACATGTTAGGTATTAAGCTACCATATGCTTTTTAAACACTGTTGCTGTTAATAACTGTTTAAACACCTTGTACCATTGGTTAAATTGTTCTTTTATGCTCAGATGCTAAAGCTATAGGGCAACAGCGTGCCAGCTGCTCCATGGCAGGGCCTCTCCCAGTCTGATTTCAGGTTCCCTTCATCCAGACAAATGACAGGTGCAGGGCAACAACATCTTCTGCTAGAGGCTTCTGCAGCCAATGCTTCCTGTCACTGTGCTTGAGAAAAAGGTGATCCGCAGTCAGGGGGATTGGTTAGAGAAAACAGGAAGTTGTAGGGCTTCGGAACTCAAGGGGCTGGAAGGATCAGGGGACTTCTAGCTGTGAGAAGTGAGAGGAAAATAAAACTTAGGTCATTGATGAGTACAGTGGAGAACAGGGCAGAGTGATCAGTAACAAGAAGAGAACAAGATGGAGCGGGTGCAGGATCAGGACCAGCTTGGCCAGAGATGAAGCCAGGGACCTTGAAAACCATCATGCTAGGGCAGCGTGTGGCCACAGCAAGATATTATTGTTTCTTACTTTTTTCACCAGAGGAAATGGTAATGGTTTGTTTCTTTGATTGGTTCTAGAAAGAATACTTTTCAAGCTGCTGCATGCAAGTGGCATTTTGAAATAAAAATTCATAGAAGATATCAGAGTGAATTATAAAGAGAAGAGGGAGAATGTCATGTGAGGTCTTGATTTCAGTGTGTCTATGTTTTTAACAGAAAATTCATTCTTGCTGTTGATAAACAAAGTAAGAGGTTAAGGATGACTGTTGTATAGGGAGATTGGTGAATGCTCCAGTGGTTGCTTCTAGAACATTCACACTAGGCAGCAGTGATGACATTATTCCTAGGATAGAATATAGCTATGATAATGAAAGGCTATGAACCACAAGAAGATATTTGCTTTAGGAAACAGAACATTTATGGAGACAGAAGATAGAAGGGATTATGAAAAATACTGAAATCTCTTGAAACAAGAAACCTGTTTCTGTCCACTTTTTTCTCTAAAACCACCTTGTGTCCACCTACATACACCAACCTTAAACACTTGGTAGAGTGCTTTAAACGAATTGGATATTTAATAAGTGCTTATTGAAGCCAGTGACTGAATTATGGTGCAGAGAACTTGCATGGCTGCAAGATCGAAGGCTGAGCGGTACCAGAGGGAAGAGGTGATGGGAGGAGGTGAAATGCTCTGGTCCACATTCATCTCCACAGATGTCCAAACTAAAGGAAAATGTCTAATTCACAGTTAGGTGTTTACACCTGTCCCTTGTCCAGTGCCGTCTTAGCATGACACACCACCTCGGGTATTGGAATCTCATCTTGGGCTAATTTCCAAACGCTGATGGGTGTATTGATCTGGAAACAAGCTGAGTTAAAAAACGCATTGGTTTGTACACAGAATCAGCCCAAGCTAATCCGCTGTCAATATGTCTGGACTGGGTATTATTGACACTCTAATGAATAGGAGACCATAGTTTTTTTCAGAGTCAACTTGTCCCCTCTTCAAAGCAATCACACAGACTAAATAGAGCTGACTCATGTGTCTCTGTGTTGGGAAGTGGATACGCTACCATTCAGGATTTAAAAAAAGAAATATATTTATTTAGGGATCATTTATTATTCTCAACAGAAGCCCTAATTCCCCTCCCAGAAGCTGACTGTCTGGATTTAAGTTGCTTTTCAACCCTGAACAGAGCAGGGCTGGAATGCAAGTCAGACACACTGTGTTTTCAGGATGATATGATCATTGAAAAACAAAAATGAAAACCAGCAGCAAGAACAAAGAACCTGAGAGTCTGCTTATGTGCATGTGTTTTTCTCTATGTATGCTCAGCATTGTAGATACAGAGACCCAGACGGAAAGTGCTAGCATTTTCACAATATCCTGATTTCAATTTATTTTCTAGGACAATATGTAAAATTCTGACTATCAAACCTCCCCTTCACCCCCTGCTTCTTTGTACTAAGTTCTCTTGCTTCATCCTGTGTTTAGTTCTTACAGACAGTAATGGTGCTGACCTTGCAGCATTCCTTTCTACATTCCAACAGACAGTTAATAACCACTCAGTGCAGTACTGGTGACTAGTCCCCTCGTCAGGGACTTGGCATAGGAGGATGACAAAGAGCTGCCTGTAAAGCGTTCATTCACCTTTGTGTGGAGAAGATGGGTTTATGTGACTTTTGGCCAGATCAGCTTCTCACCAGAATTTACCTTCTAGATGTATGGATGCTGTGGGCTGAATCCCTACTCCAGATGCTCCTGAAGTATCTGAAATGTGGGACCTTCACCCCATGCTCTCTGATGAGACCTTTAAAGCCTGCCGAAATAACCTATGGACAAATGTGTTCTGCACTTATGCCTCACCCCAAATTTCTGGTGCTGGTGAGCCCTGGTCCATGAGCTCCCCGTGGGTGGGATCTTCAGCTATAAGCACCATGTTCACCTCTTGGGTGAACTTCCATCAATGAAGCTCTCTTGGATGAGCATGGACAAGCCCTTGATGTTAAAGCTGGAATTCCTCCTTTATATTGAAGGCCAGGTGTATCATAGAAAAGAGAATGGAATTTTGGAGAAAAAACAGACATTAAAACAACAAACATCAGCATTTGTTTGTCTTGTTTTTTGGTGAGTTTTTTTGTTTTGTTTGTATCAAAGCATCGCTTTCTTTTGAAAAGGGGAATTCTTTTCTCAGCCAGAACAGAGAAGGCCCAAAGACATAGCTAAAGGAAATGGGCAGAGTTTTGGACTGGTAAAATAGGAAAGCCAAGGAGAGGGATCCATTTGGATTCTGAGATTTCTACCTTGCCATACTGGGAGAAGCCAACACTCATACACCAATGTATCACACAGTAAAATGCGTTCTGCGGAAGTGAACGGGTTTGGAGGTTTGGACTTCTTGACAGTGAGGTGCCTTAAATACACCATTCACAATATGAAAACATAAGAAATGCCACTCAAGGATTTGTACTTCCAGTCAGACAACCAGAACACTATTCTTAAGGACAGAGTGAGGGAGATCTAGCTAAGATTTATTAAAACATAGATCTAGGGCTTCCATCCCCCTGACCTTACAGTTTTCTGCTTTGAGTGTAATTAATAAGTAGCTGCTTCTGGAGTCCAGCTGAATGCTTTAGCCCTTTTATCCTCTTGCTCTTGCTGCCAAACCAAGCTTTTGTAACTTGTGCCATCTCTACCCCTCCCTTCATTGTTCCTTGGAAGAAAACAGAGTTTAGAAAACATGCAGTGGCTGAAACTTCCAGTGGGACTAAAGGGTTTGCTCATTTAAGGGCAATTGGATACAATCTCTCCTCAGCCCTGTGCCTCTAAGTACCTGTGAGCACTGGGGTAGCAAAAGCTTGTTGTGTTCTCTGTAAAACGTTAGGAAAGTTCTCCTTACCCAAGTGTGAAAAACTGACTTCTCAGCCTGACCTGCACACCTGTGAGACTTTAATCTCAGTTAGAGACGTGTTTGCATGAAACAAAACAGAAGAATGCAGAGCTTATAAAACAGAGATATTAGTGTAATAATAATAAAAAAGAATTGGCCTCCTTATCAGTTTCCAGGCCCTATCTATACCTGTCTTTTGTCACTGGGGCATCTAATCACCCCTCCCTTTTGTTTGCTGAAAATGAGTTTTCCTATTTCTTCTGAGGCAGAATTAATCTGAAAATCCCTGCTATTGTTTGATAGTTAATTACCTGTCTTTGGAGTCAAGCAGCGCTGACGTTCGGGTGAAAGGGGAGAGCACTGATGTCTACTGAATTGTATCCCGATGAGGGAAGGCAGCCGCGCCATTGATGTCTGGCCCCTGTATTAGTGGAATTCCGTGGAGAGAAGCGTGAGGCTGGAGAGCCTTCCAGCCGGGCAGTGCCTTGCAGACAATAGCCTTAACGGTCTTTCATTTACCTTTTATTATCTCCCTGCTCCTAACCTTCTCCTTTTCCCTGCCAAATACGTATATTTGTGTTGCTTTCCAGTCTTGAATAACCTTGTCAAGTCCAACTCATTATTATAATCGAGAGAAGAAACAGTAACTTTTAATTTGTAGATACTAGTTTATC